ATGCTTACTGATGAACCATTCACATCTCTTACACAGATGTAAATAGAATAAAATGGGTTCTCTTGCTTAATGCTCCAGCTTCTTAATAGTCGGGAGCTTTTGGATGGATAAAAGACACGGGAGAGGCCTACCAGTACTCTTTAGCAATTCTTGTGGCTAGACTGACAAATGCTTCTAGGACTGGGGTATTGCATTCTCTCCCCCTCAGAAAAGTTGTTTGTCTAAGAAGAAGCAAAGCACTATCCCAGAATGTTGTGTGTCTTAATTTTGTTGTTCGTTACATGTCAATTCCTATGCCTCTTGCATTTAGTTCCCAACTGAAATTGCAGGTCACCAGTCTAATTTTACTGTGTAGTATAGCTTTAACTTTCTGCATACTCTAGTTTCCTAAAACTAAATTTTTGTAGGACCTTTCTCTAGTATTCTCTGAACCAGCTTTTAAGGGTCTAATCAAGTTGCATGAGCAAGCACTCTTGAAACTGACTACAATGTAAACAATATTCTCTTGCGTCATTTTCTCAGAACTGGAGGTTTCATGTGAACAACTTCCTCTTTTTTTTTTTTTGATCCCATGATTACAAAAACCCGCACTAGAAATTTTCATGGGGAAATAAGTCTTGTTTGCATTTACATTAGTGGGATAATCTTTGCCCCCAAATGCTTGCAGAGCTAAGCATGTCAGAGAAATCCAAATAAAAATCCTTTATTAGCCCGAAAGGCTCAAATAGTGACACTTGTTGTTAACGGTTGTGGAGGGCAATACTTCGTCATGAATATTCTTTACTCGCTTTTGTTGTACAGCTGGACTTTGACCAACATTTCATATAGGTAGACTGTCCAGCACAGGATTAACTTTGTCTTGTTTCTACCACAAGGGCTCTCCCAAGCAATATATCATGTGCTTCCTTCAGTGTTCCTTACTACCTAAGAAGGAAGGGTACTGATTGACATTAATATCAGTTGGCACTTTACAGTGTTCCGTGTGGCTCCTGCTTCAGTTGTGCAAGTCTAAGGTGTGTTCTCCCGATCCCTAATGCTTTATTTATATAGTTGTTTCCATTGTACTGAGCCTTGCTTGTATCTACCCATCCTACCTCCCTCCACAGATGGTTTCTCCTGTACGCTGGAGCCATTCAGTTTGCAGCAGTGTTGTCTTCAAGTCATCATTGTCCAAGTCGAGTCTCAAGTCACTATAGTCGAAGTCCCAAGTCGAGTCTCAAGTCTTAATTTAAAAAATATCAAGTCACTTTTGTACAAGCCATCAATGTTGGCATTTTCGGACAATTTTTTTTCACCAAGTCGATTTAACAAAATTAGCAAGTCTCAAGCTGACTCTCAAGTCACAAACAACGAACCCAAGTCGAGTCTCAAGTCGATTCACCTAGGCGACTTAAGTCGGACTCGAGTTCAAGTCGTGGGACTCGAGTCAACTCAGGTCTGCAGCATCCCTCTTTCTGCCTAAGGGCAGCAAAATCCTCTTCCTTCTCTCTGAAGAGTTCACAAATGACAACAAGACCATGTTAAGTAGCCCAAGACTGTGCTACTGCTTTATGCTATAAAGAGCAACGGTTGAGGTGTTTACTCTGCATTTACATGCTTTACAATCTACATAGGGCTGGAGTTAAAATACAGTGGATGTTTGATAAAAGATGTAGGCATCTTTGTGTGTTTGGGATGTCTGTATTAGGGATGTAAAAGAGTAGTTGAATAGGCTGGCTCTTGCCACATTTAAAAGGCAGAGGCGCAGTGGTCCAGCCCACTGAAGCAGACCTGGCACGAGCTGGGTTCCAGACCTACCTCCGCTGTTGCTCTGTAGTTTAAGTGCTTGCATACCCGTCTCCTCCTACATTTAAACTGCAGAGCCACAGTGGCCCCTTATGGACTAATCATGTACTCGATACAAATTGCATCAAGTTCACAATTAGTTATTTACTCGATACTTAACATCCTTAGTCTGTATATGCTTAACTCTGTCACAACAGTATTGTACTATCAGTTTCCTAACATTAAATTTGAATCAGTGTTTGCCTTAGTTCTAAAAAGTAGAATACCAAGGATGTTTTTTCTAGTAACCTTTTTACTTTTTCAAACTGCGTTTTTCCCCCTCTTGGAACACCTGACATTTCATTTGCTTCTTGATCTGATCTCATTTAATTGTCAGTTTGTCTGCTCTTCTCATCAAAAGTAGGGAAGCAAGTCTGTTATCTCAAAGGACAGCATCTGTTGGGCTCAAGCAAAAATGTTGGCAACTAAACAGGATTTTTATAGCTTACATATTACACTTGAAACATCCATTAGCAGAAAATGCCCTTTTTTTAATGAAAGTATAAAATTTGATCTTGTTCAGTTCTGTATGTGCTACTTCTGGATTTTCCCTGAGCTTGGAACTCCAGAATATGGTGACAGATGGCTGTCATTTTAATACCCTCTCCATGTTATTTCTGATCCTAAATGAAACACAGAAATGATGAGCTAGGGATATAGATCACTGCAGAAGCCTCTGCCAATGAGAGAACTCTGTTCTCATCTAGTATCGTACAGTAGAACCTCCCAGATATGGACGCCATGTGAAACGAAGCTCTCAGTCGAGCAGCAGTGAATGGAGGGGGAGGACTAATAAACACTACAAACCAGCAAATACTGTAACTGTCTCTTGGCTTTAACCCTGGAGCTTAGGGCTTCAGCTGTTGGGGAAGGAGGAGAAGTTGGAATTGCAGCCATTTGGGGACCAGGATCATTGTGGCTTTTGGCTCTAAGGAGCACAGGGGCTCAAGGCTTCAGCCCCGCAACTGTTCCTCTCCTCGGCGATAGGCTTTAGGTATGAGAGTAGCGCCAGTTTCAGACCCAGCTTTTTTCCTGCACCTAAATCCTTGATTCCCAGGTGTGCACCTCCCACACTAACCAGTCAACAGGATTTTACATTGTTTAACTGGTTAACCTATTAAACAGGGGCTGGTGTGGGGTGGGTGGGAGAATGGGAGGGCTGCTTCAGGCGGCTGGAGCGCTCCTCCTCCCTCCCCCCCCTTAGGTTTCCTTTCTGTACATGTGGTTGTCACCATGGGGTAAATTCCTCCATGTTATGTTTGCTGCTTGGCTGACCACAGTCTGTGGGCATGGAGGAGGCCAGAGACTAGGGAAATGCTGCTAAGCCTGAAGGCTGATTCTACCAAACAATGGTGAGAACTTCCATCTTCTGAAAGATTTTTTTTTTTCTCCATGAGTTCCCCTTCCTCTGACAGTCTTCCTCCGGAATCTCAGCTGAATCCTGCTTTCTAACCAGATGTAAGGGAGTTAATTGCCCCGTCCCTCGCCAGATGTCTTGCTGGAATCGAGTGCCTCATCTAAAAGGGTACGCTGCAGTTATCTACATGAAACGAGTTAGTGAATAAAACTGTTCTTCAGGGCAGGAACTCTGCCTGCCCCTTCCTAGAAAAAGGCTACCACAGTTTGCACACACCCGTAACAATTCTGCATTCCCTCAAGTATTTAAAGGGCACTAGCAATTACTGGGGTGCCAGACATTGTCTAAACTTAAGTTTTGCTGCTTATCTAGCTTTCAGCTAAAACCGCAAACCACCTATCCCGGAGTTCAGTTATGCCCTCTCTAAAAGGTGTTTCACTTTGTCAAACTGGAATAAACAGTCAGTGGTTTATACTTTTAAAAAATCACTCCTCTTCCAGAGAGTCAAGCCAATGAAACACTGAGTATATGCCAAGCCTGTGTTTCTTTTTATCGCAGGGGTGAGGAATCAGAAGTCAAATGCTTTATAGTTGTCCAGTGAATGGCTTATTGATCTATTTCTATATGATCCATTTCATTCCCACCAGAAACTGCTTCTGAGAACTCACCTGGTTTTGGAATTCAGATTCAGGAGGAGAGAGTTTTAATTCTCAACAGCTGTCACTTGTTAGGTGCTAATTAGAGATAGGAACCTATAACCCTGTAAACAGTGAACAGATAAGACTGGTTATGTGTCATATTGGGGCAGTTGTTCAGCAGTTACGTGTTCACACAACTAGCCACATTTTAACATCCCTAGTGCTGATCTGGTCTCCTCTTAATGGACGTTACCTTTCATTATATCTAACGCAGCTCTGTATGGCTAGAGCAGGTAGAGTTTTTTTGCAAACTTTTCTTTAATGAGCAAGTAGACTACTCTATTGTGCTGTATCCATCATTTTGATATGGGCAGTCCAATCAACTTTGTGATTGGTAGTCCTAAATGTAGCATTCTGTAGGTTTGCTGGTCCCAGGTTATTAGAGAGGAAATGTCTTTTATTGGCTCTGCTTCTGTTGTCAAAAGACGCTTTCGAGCTATGGAGAGCTCTTCAGACCTGAAGTTTGTCTTTCACCAACAAAAGTTGGCCTAGTAAAAGGTAAGTTCTAAAGTTAGTCTGTTTTTAAATATGGACTGTCTCTCCATTCTGAGGCCTGATCTTTCAAGCTCTTATGCACTCTATTGAAGTGGGGGGAGGGGGCCGCATTGAACTTGATCCAAGGCTTAGCAGTGATTGTGTGCCCAAATTTGTTAACTTTCCCTCAGTTTTGAAGAGCATTGGCATTACTAGAATTTCCAGAAGGGGAAGAAAAATAAAGGTTAAGTAGTAAAATATCTGCATTGGCATGCAATTGTACATACAAGTCTTGAACATTTCTGCTTTCTAAAATTATACCGCTTTTCCTTTATTGCCTTCTATCTACTCCTTTATTTCTTGAGCAGGTGGTGTTTTTAAGTGCATGGGTACCCACTCTAAATGCTCAAACACATGCCTCTATCAGTTGGATCCCATTTTTGGCCTACCAGCCTTGAGATGTGTGAATTCGTGTTGCATGAGAGTTTGCAAACCAAACAGCTGGGCTTTTGGAAGTATTCAACAGGCCCCGAACTGTGGCCAAGCTGGTCTGAGTTTTGGAGAACTGGTTATGCTCATCAAGGAAAGGTTTCTTTCCAGACTTGTTGCTACTTTGACACTGGCCTGATCTCTTCATGCTGGCAATGATGGGTCAAACTTCAAACGCTTACATTTCAGGTGCGGGTGCGGGTGGGGGCTGGGATACGAACAGTAGTGTGAGTGCCACCTGGTGGCGACGAATAGCAATCCACGAAGCTCTGTATTTCACTTGGCAATGCATCTCTGTGCTTATTTCACAGAAAGAATCATGTACAGTGCGTGAAATTAACGTGTCAAGCCTTCCCTCGTTTTTTTTCCCAGCATGACCTCCCTTCTTCCAAACCTTGAAGCTCTCCTGTCTGTCGAAAGCTGCATGTTTAACCTTGCATCTAAAATCCAAACTGTCTAAAGACTGAAGAGTAAACTGTGTATCGACTTCTCTCTCAGGATTACAACCCTAACATCCATTCGCTCTGCCTAAGGTGGAGAGTCCCTCAGGATATTGGCATCAGGGGAGAGAATAAACTGCTGGGCTGTTCTCTTCTGCTGCAACTTAAGCAATGTGGCTATCTCTCAGACCACAGATTTTGAGTTTGGGGGTTTTCCCTGCACGGAGTAAAGGGAGACTTAGTTATTTGACATTAAGACAAGGAACATGATTAAGTGCAGCTCATCTTTGAGCAGCGGTGTTTGTCTGGCATAGCCTGCTACAGAAATCTGACTCTTTGGTAACCTTGCCAGTTATATTGTCTGTCTCCCTTCATGCACAATTCTGACTCTGAAACTGCCCTCCAACAAGGGTCTAAAGGCTGGACACTAGCTGCAAGATCGCTGTAAGGTCACTTAAAAAGAAGGGGCGTTAAAAGAAAGGATGCTCTTGCAGGGCAACCTCTCTCTGCATCCCTGTGATTACTCTGGTTTCACTTCTAGAGGGTTCTGTTTTGATACACAATTAACTCAGCTTGCAGGGGGAAGGAGGAAACCTAAAACATGAGTTTCCTAAGTCTTCTACTTGGACTTTTTTTTCTTTAAGAGAAGACTGCTAGTTAGTTTCCTAAGTCTTCTACTTGAACTTTTTTTTTTTCTTTAAGAGAAGACTGCTAGTGTCTAATCCCAACTTCTGTTCTAGATGAAAATACAAAATCTACAATCCACAGTTCACTTGATGCAGTTTCTCATAAGAGATTGTTCGTGGTGGTGATTTATGAACATGTTGCATGACTGCCTCTTTTGCTGTCCCTTTGCAGGGCCACGATGGGCATCCTGGAATATTGGCGTGTTTATTTGTATTCGCTGTGCTGGGATCCACCGGAATCTAGGTGTTCACATATCCAGAGTGAAATCTGTCAACCTCGACCAGTGGACCCAAGAACAGATACAAGTAAAAACGGGGCTGGATCCTCTAATGTGACTAGAACTGCTGCTCTGGCAGGATGGGATTCAGTAAATCTTAAAATACCTGTTAAACTGCTTGGGAGAGTGAAACAGTAGGAAGACTTATTTAAAACAAAGTTTCCCTCCTTGTATGGTTAGAAAACAAAACACGGCTAGTTTTATTGTAAGCTGACTCATTAAAACCGGTGGCCTGTAGGGAGTGTTCCCTCCTTGTATGATTAGAAAACAAAACACAGCTAGTTTTATTGTGAGCTGACCCATTAAAACCGGTGGCCTGTAGGGAGTGCAACAGACTTCTCTGACTAGAAACAGAGCCTGGTTCTATTGATAGAACGCTTGTCCAAAACAAGTAACTGCTTTAAATAAGCACGCACTTGTCTGGCTATCGCTGCTGGGTGTCTCTTAGCTACCTGGGGCTGTACAGAAGGGGGATCACAAATACTGCACAAACGAGCCAAGCCAGGAAAGGTATCTCGCTGCCCTAGCACAGACACAACCTGCTGGGACGGGGTGTCATCCCAACAGGGTGGCAACAGCTGTTCCTGTAGGAATCCTCTGCTCAGCCAGCTCATGTTCTCACACATTCCAGCACCAGATAATTCTCAAGTCTTATAGCCGTTTCCCTTTTAATAGGGATCTCAAAGCTTATTACTAAGACCTAATGCTGCAGCTAGTAAAGCTTCCTACCTAGAAAGATTGACTTAAGGGAAGAATAAGCTTTATAGCTGCCTGTATGCTAGGGGACACACACAGAGCAGGAGGCAAGTTGGACAGATCCCTAATACATGGAAGGGTGTACACACTGATAAGGGAACTACATGGGGTAGCACTAGAGCAATGGCATGGGATCAAGGGAAGGGTGTGTGTAGGTTGACTCTCAGGAAACTTTGCCAGTCAGGCTTTGAGTTCCAGAATTATTTCCCCAAGGAAAATGGTGACTCTTTGGCATGGAAAGCAATGTATCCTAGGGACTGGCCCTGCCTAGTTCAGGGTGTATACTGTATGACTCGATGGGGTTTTCCCTTCTGTGTGTACTGAGCATGAAATTCCCCCAAGGATTAAAAGAATCCCTCGTGCATCTCCTGTGCAATGAAGCTTCAAATCCCCGGGGTTCTCTGGCTGCTCAGACATTTAAGTCTCCGCTTATTCCAGTTAAGTGTTGGAGAGTGTGCTGCCATGCCTCAAAGATCTACTTAAAAATGTTTCTGCCTCTATGAAAGAGGAGCTTAAGACTCTTGGAGGGTGGTGTTGCACTGTAGGTGTGACAGAACTTCCATATGCTGAAATAAATGACTGAAGATCTCTCTTGTGCATTGCAGTGTATACAGGAGATGGGAAATGGAAAAGCAAATCGTCTCTATGAAGCCTACGTGCCAGAGACCTTCAGGCGGCCTCAGACAGACCAGCATCCTTTTTCCTTGCTACCTGGGGATATGAGAGACTTCAAAACAGACACGAGCTTCTCTGAGGAGGGCAACTGCTAAGTGTTAGCCATAAAAGCAGGTTCCTAGCTAGGTTGCCTCTATGTAAGGCTTCAGACTTGTTACGTTGCTGTCTTCAGTGGAAGAGCTCTTGGCAGGGATCCCTAAGCTCTGTGGCCATAAGAATTAAGTAAAGCTACTCGGATACAGCTTGAAGCCCTCACGTGGGATGTGCATTGTCGACTTGCTAACAAACTCAAGGGCTGACTTTCAAAAGCATCCTGAGATCAGACTGAAGCTGGTGGGAGTGCAGCACCTTTAAGTTAGAGAAGGTCTCCTTCACCACAGGGTCATAGTGCTGTAAACTGAGCAAGAAGCAGGATTCTTGCTCAGAGTCCCGTTTATGGGTATAGATTGAGCCTGTCTTGTCCGGCAACCTCCAGTGATTTGCCGGATGTCCGCTTGTCATGGGTATGGCCACATTTGCTGCAGTCCCATAAAGTTTTACAGCCCCCAGTCCTGGTTCTGTGCTTCAGCTCTAATTTACCCCTAAATGTCGAAGAGCCCAGTAAGCAGTGGGAGTGTAGGTAATGCTGCTAGACAATATCGACCTCCTGTGGTCCAGCAAATTCTCTGGTTCGGTACCAGTCAGGTCCTGAAGGTGCCGGATTAGAGAGGTTCAACCTGTAATATAATAGCCTAAGAGCCTGTCTGCAGTGTTAGGTTTGTAAAGCAGCTAGATACTTGTGCCTGGTCTGTGCCAGCTGATTTGAGCTCACAAGGCTCAGTCTATGGGGCTCTTTCGTTGCTGTTGACTTCCAAGCCTCCCTCCTTGTCAGATCCTTGAACCCGAACCCCAACTCCAACCAAAGCTTGGAAGTCGAAACAGCCCCACAATCTGAACCTTGCAAACCAGAATCAAGTTGTGTGGACCAGCTGTGGGTTTTTCTTTGCTGTGCAGACATACCCTCAGATACATGGGATCCCAAATCTCAGAATGACTTGTGCTGAGGCAGGATTGTAATAAATGTATGCTGCCAAGTGGTGGTGCTAACAAATGGCTAGATAGATCCTGATCTTTGTAAGAAACGTCCCTAATTGTCTAACTTTAAGGTGCAAAGTGGCCTTTGCAAGTACCTCTGCATAATTCTTCACTCATGCTCTTGAACAAGGCTTACTGAGCTGTGGCATCTTGCCACAGGGGATCAAGAAATGGCTGTTTAACTTGCTCTAATAAATTTCCCCTGAAACGACAAGGAAAGCTGCCAGTGCCTTGGACCCTAGATCCTGGCTAACAGCAAGTCAACCATTGCTGGGCCGGAAGAGTGGTGAGGAAACTGCCTTGAACAAAGACGGTAGGTTAAGAAGCTTCAGGGGGTAGCTGAGTTAGTCTGTACAGGATGAACTTAAAAAAACCCAACAAATAGTCTCTAAAGTGCTCCCAGACTAACAAGACATGTAGAAGGTATCATAAGCTTTCTTGGGCACAGCTCACTTCTTCAGATGACTGGAGTCTATAAAGTGCTCCCAGACTATTGGTTTTTAAGTTTTATATGGTAGATGGTTAGGTCTTGGCACACTTTTACTTTTGTTTTCTTGCAACCCTATGACTTCTTGTAAAACTTGTTTAACTGTAAAACAAGCAGTGATAAGTATCTGTCCAACAGCAGTTGAGCTGCAGGGTTTTGACACTTTCAAGGAGCAATGAACTTTGTCTGTAGTGAATATACAGTGAAAGGGACACTGCATTGGCGAGAGAGGCCATTTGGCAAGGCTAAGACGGGTAGAGGTTCAGGGAGTTTGCTAGTGAGGAAGCTGAATGGTGTGGCAGGAAGCCAACACACAGGCTAATCTCTAGCAAACACTAGCCTCAGCAGTATTGTAACTAGATCCAAGAAGAATTTCACTTGCTGTAAGAGTGTATTTAGCATTAGCGAGCTTGACACTAACTGAAAGGAACAAAAATTACTGTTGCAAGAGAACATCCTTAAACTACCCTTATTTTGTGATCTTAAAGTGTACTTTGTAGAACTATTGAACATGTCTATGTACAGCTTCCACTTGTGAGTCATTCCTCCTTAATCAGCCTCTTGCAGAGCTGTGGAGAGCTTTATCAGAGACAAATATGAGAAGAAGAAATACATGGATCGAAGTGTTGACATCAGCGCATTCAGGGTTAGTTTCTCGTTCCTAAGAACTTGTGTAGAAGACAAATCACACTTAGAAGCGCTGCCCTGATATTTTTGTCTTTTCCTGAATTGACTTCTTACCATAAAATTCTCTACAAAGCCATCAACTGGCAAATGTACAGAACTGGACATCTTGACTTATTCCTCATGGTCAGCTGAGTACATTGTATTTTCAGTGGTATCGCAGACATTTTCCAAGTATTTCTCTTGTGTCGGGGATTTTTACCTATTTGGGACTCATTTCTTTAAGAACAGGGACTGTCTCATGGCCATTCTGCAGTTGTATTTTCTGTTACGGATCTAAATTATCATGTGTATACATGGCAAAACTGGTTATAAACGCTTAACCAGAGGTTGGGGGGGAGGAAACTGCTGAGTATGGAGAGATATTTATCAGCTACGGTAGTTACCTAGTGAGCTTGCCACTTTCCATGTTGCGGAGGGTGCAATTCAGTACAGACTTGCTTGGAAATGTTAGGATTCTATTTTTATTTTAACTTTCCCATTGCTGTGCCCTGAGCTTTGACCCTCACTTCTGTATCTATCTTTGTGCAGAAAGAAAAAGCTGACAAATGGAAAAGGAATAGCGAGTCAGCATCCGAGAAGAAACTGGAACCCGTTATCTTTGAGAGAGTAAAAATGGTAAGGCAAAAAGTACTGTCACGGATCAATTGTAAACATCTACTGGAAAGATACAGACATTTCTCAAGTATAGTAGAACAGCTTTCTATGGAAACCCAGATTTCTCTGGTCTCATCCTGTTAAGAGGTTAAGGCACTGAATCACTCCAGTGTTCTGTATATTCCCCTTGTCTTGTCTAACAGGCCAATACCAGGTGCTTGGAGAGTTGTGTTCATCCCCTTCCTCCCCACAGTCTACAGACAGCTGTCAATCCCAGTTGCCGTTTTGATAGATTCTCCAACTCTGGGATACTGTGTATCTGATCTTTCCCATTCCTGTCTTGTCATGGTTTAGCTAGTGACTGTAGCCCTGTGGTGATACCTCGGAATTTCACAGTAAGGAGTGGGTGATTTTGTGGCACTTCATCTCCAAATAAGAGCAGCTAGTCTCCTCTGGATCCGTTTCCTTTGCTCAAAACACAGCCTTGTTTTATGCCGTTCCTCCCACTCCCCACCCATAAGGCTGTGGTGGAGTCTAGCTCCCTTTACAGTAAAGGCATGCACTATCTAATTTTTGTGTATCGCTACAAGGACTCTTTCAGGGAGCCCAGTCTTACTCTTCTCCCATCTGGCTAACTGCATTTTACTAGCTAAGAAACTAACTGTATCATGGCTCCCGGTGCACCACAAGCTGCTTATTTTGATGTTCAAACTTGCATGTTCATTCAGTAACGAGAACTGAAAGCACAAGACTAATTTGTTTCCGATAAGGTTAAATGCTCCTCTAGATGCCTTTGAACACTATTGCAATTACAACCAGGGCAAAGGCTAACAGACACAAATAGTCAAACTCTATATTTTGCTGTCAGTTCTGATGCTCACTCGCTCTTCAGTGATAATGCCTGTCAGTTATAAATGTCAGAGTTGCAGGAGTATAACTGGAGCACGGGTTATCAGTTGAAGTTCAGAGTGGGGACTGGACAAGTGTTCACAAATCTATAGATGGAGTCCACCATAAAGACTGAAATGATATATTCTGTAATTTCCACTCCAATGCCCAAATAAGTCTGTGAGTCTTTAAGGTGCCACAGGCTTGCTTGTTGTTTTTTGCAGATACAGACTAACTTGGCTCTGAGACACATGTAGGTTTCTTGTCAAGATAAGCGGTTTGGCTTGACTGTCCTTCCTGTTGACTGCAAGAAATGCAAGACGCTGCTCTGGAGGTTTGGGACAGGATGTTTCTGAAAGTGCTAGTGTTTACACTAATCCCTATTATACCAGTATTATAGCTTTATGATCCTGCTCAGGGTATTCTGAAGATGCCAACCTTGATATTACATGTCTCATCCGGCAATCGTTCAGAGTAGAAGTGGAAAATCGGAGAAGCTTTAAGTGTCCTTATAGATTCTACATAAAATTTATAAAGTGTATGCGAGACTGAATGGTCCAGGAACAGCTGGGTGGAGATGTCTGTTGGGAGTGGTTAGAGACACAGCCCTATCTTTCCTCTTTATCTAAAGTAATTGGATCTGATTACTTTCGTCGTCTTATTATTAGGCTTTGCTTGAGTATGGCAGAAGAGAGATCCCGATTAAAGATACAAGCACAGCACTCCATTAGATTCCTTTACCTGCTTTTGTAGGCATCTGAGTCTGACTTACCATTGCTTTAACTTTAGTTTTCAAAGTGTGTGACAGTCAGTTTGAACTAGATCAGTGCAGTCCTAGTTCAAGCCCAGAATCCGTATCCTTTCCCTCCTCACAAAGGTTAAGTGCAGTAGAAGGCTTGAAGAACTGCAAGACTTCTGGGTTTTAATTTTTGTTGTTTGTTTCAGCCGCAAAAGAAAGATGAAATGCAGCTACCAAGAAAAAGTCCCCCGAAATCTACTGAACCTGTAATGGATCTACTAGGACTTGGTAAGAGAAAGTTACATGCTTTGGAGCGATCTAAAAAGTATTGAATAGTTGAAAATGATTTTAAATGTGGTTCCTATAAGTAGATGACAACTGCTAAAGCTCAGAATGCTTTGGGATGTTTGCTAACTAATCTAAATTACATGGGGGGGGGAGGTGTGTGTGTGTGTGTGTGTGTGTGTGTGTGTGTGTGTGTGTGTGTGTGTGTGTGTGTGTGTGTGTGTGTGTGTGTGTGTGTGTGTGTGTGTGTGTGTGTGTGTGTGTGTGTGTGTGTGTGTGTGTGTGCGCTTTGTTTCTTTTTTCCTCTCTCTCTCTCTCTCTAAAAAAAAAACCAAAACAACCTTTTTGGAAGTAAGGGCCTGCTTGCTTCAGCAAATACCTAGTGCTCTAACCTAAAGAGACAACCTTAACATTCCCAGAAATGAAAGGAAACTTGTAACTGGAAAGTTGGACTTGAAAATGATGCAGGAGTAGTCCCTGATTTTTAGGCACTACTTGAGTACTTGTCAATATGCCTTGTGTCTCAGCTTGCTTCATGTTATACTGTGGCACCACTGAAATGCAGCCTCCTCTGAGCAGGCAGGATCGATTGAGTCCAATCATGATTTAAATCTGCTAGCTGTAACCATTCATTTAAATTTTCAGTTGTAATCTTGTTTTGCCTTTGCACTTGATTTTTCATAGAGAGGTTGATTCCCATTGGTCGATGCCATTCAAACATGTTGACTTGCATTTAAATATAACCATTACGCTAAACTTGGTACTGTGTGCTAGTCAGGAGCCTACATTATATCAATCCACATTTAAGCAAGCACCCATGAACAACGGCAGCTTAACAGACATTTATTCAGATTCTTAATTGTTTACATGGTAGAAAATAGTGAATGAAATATTTATTTCCTGAACTAATTTTCTTCCTTGTAATTTGTGTAGGCCTGCATTTGGATGGTAACTGGACTATTAAAAATATCCCAGAACAACATTTTAAAGATTGTTTTTGTGTTAGAAAAAAAATTCAGCACATTTAAGGTGGTTAAATCGGTTACATTAAACAAAGGTGGTAGTGAGCAGAGTTTTTGGTCCCCATGCCTTTCAAAGTGTTAAAACTAAGAAGTCTCATCCTGTTCTATTCATGGATTAGAAGGGAGGAGGACCCGCTTTCTTAAAATCCCAGTTTCTCAATTTTCAGTGAATGGCAGTGAGGAAAATATTCGCTGAACCTGCAGAAGAAGCTACATCTATCAAGCTGGCTTAGCAAACTCAGGCTGCAGCTGCTTAGCCAGGGACTCCTACCGGTTTGGTGTGTTAAACTTCAGCAGCAAACATGCGTGCATATTTTCATGAGATTGAGTTTAATAGACTCAAGTAAATATAGGCCTTAATCTAGGTTGTCATAACTTCACATTGTAAATATTTTAAGAGGAAACTATTTAACTTTAAAAAAAAAATCCAATTGAAATACAAATCCTTTTAATTTGCTGCAACATGCTGTGTTGCAATAGGGAAGGATTAATAGGGAAGGCTGTGCAAATTACCGGTGGGATCTAGAGCATACCGCCCGCGAACACTTTCCCTATTACAGGATAAGGGTGTGTAATTATTTTTACCAGTTACACGATTACATTGGTGCGCACTGTCTCCGACTCCTGGCCCCGCTCCCAGGGAGCGGATGCGCTCTGGGAGCCCAGCTGCACAGCAGGTTCTATAGAATACACCTTGTACTGCAGAGCCTGCAGCACAGGGCAGCAGCCAGCTTCCAGGAGCAGGGCTGGAAGTCAGCACGCGCCGGCAGAAGAGTTTAACTGGAATCGATATACATCCTTATCGGTTAAATGGTTAAACCCTTACCTCCCTATTAGAGAGGAGGTCTCTTGTGATGTCATTTGGCACGTGGAGGTAGACGATTGGTGTAACTTTAGCTTTCCAAGCAGTTTGTGTGGTTTTTTTTTGTTTTTTTGTTTTTTTTAAGGGATCTAGTACAAATAAACTAAACACATCAGCTTTATCTCCCGGGGGGTATAACCCTCCCTGTAAAATTGTATTCCAGTAACAATATGGCACCTAAAACTGACCTCAGATGGCCCTAGACACCAGCAGAGAATCCCTGCCCTTGCTGTTTGGTGCACTGATTGACTCTAGAAATGTAGCTGTGTTAGTCTGGTGTAGTTGAAACAAAATACAGGACTATGTAGCACTTTAAAGACTAACAAGATGGTTTATTAGATGATGCACTTTCATGGGCCAGACCCACTTCCTCAGATCAAATAGTGGAAGAAAATAGTCACAACCATATATACCAAAGGATACAATTTAAAAAAAAGGAACACATATGAAAAGGACAAATCAAATTTCAGAACAGAAAAGGGATGTGAGGTAAATGTCTGTGAGCTAATGGTATTAGAGGTGATAATTGGGGAGGCTAAGACAGCTAGAGTCTTTGAGCCCCCTGCGAAGAGTGTAGAATTTTAGCATGAATGACAGTTCAGAGGATTCCCTTTCAAGTGCAGATTTAAAAGGCTTCTGATGCAGGTAATTAAGCCGTTGAGACAGTGTCCTTTCTGGTTGAAATGGCAAGACACTGTTTTTTCTTTGTGATCCTGTCTAATATCTGTTTTGTGAGCATTGATCCTTTTGGCGAAGTGTCTGAGACGTTTGTCCAATGTACAAAGCAGATGGACACTTTCAGCACATGATAGCATAAATTATATTTCTGGATGCGCAGGATATGCATTCCTGATCTTATATCTCACTTGGTTAAGTCCAATAATGGTATCAGCAGAATGAATATGTGGACAAAGCTGGCAATGGGGTTTGTTGCAAGGGAAGGTACCAGGGTTGGTATTAGTGTGGTATGTCCTGTGGTTGTTGGTAAGAATCATCTTGAGGTTAGGTGGTTGTCTATAGGAGACTATGGGTCTGTCTCTCAGAGCCTCTTGGAGTTTTGTATCCTGTTCCAGTATAGGCTGTAGCTTATTGATAATGTGTTGGAGAGGTTTAAGTTGGGGGCTGTAGGTGATGACAAGTGGTGTGGTGGTGTTGGTTTTCTTGGGTCTGTCTTGAAGTAGATGGTTTCTAGGTATTCGTCTGGCTCTTTCAATTTGCTTTTTTATTTCTCCGGGTGGGTAGTTGAGGTTTATAAATGCTTGGTAGAGATCCTGAAGTTTCTGGTCTCTGTCAGTGGGATTAGAACAGCTGCGGTTGTATCGAAGGGCTTGGCTATAGATAATGGATCGTATGGTGTGTGCTGGATGGGAACTGGAAGCATGTAGGTAACTGTATGAGTCAGTGGGTTTTCTGTAGAGGGTGGCCTCCCCAATTATCACCTCTAATACCATTAGTTCACAGACATTTACCTCCACCCCCCCGCATCCCCTTTCTGTTCTGATTTGTCCTTTTCATATGTGTTCATTTTTTTTCATTGTATCCTTTGGTATATATAGTTGTGACTTATTTTCTTCCACTATTTGATCTGAGGAAGTGGGTCTGGCCCACGAAAGCTCATCACCTAATAATCCATCTTGTTAGTCTTTAAAGTGCTACATAGTCGTGTATTTTGTTTTATTGACTCTGGTTCGGGTTTTACAGAAAGCTTGCAAGGTCCCCTTTGGACACCTTTGTCCATGAGGGACTCCTACAAGCCTAAGATTCTCTCAAGATAGCAAACTGTAGTGTTACTGTAGCACGGATCAGTGATTCCTAATAAAGTTCAGGGACAATATGTTCCTTTGAATGCCACAGAAGTTGATATGGGAAGAGCTTTGAATGGAAACGTGAATTCTAGTATGATTTCTGGAGTTTATTTACCACTGCAGGGGAGCGAGGGAAATGTAACTCCCCAGAAGAGCTGAAGCAAAGCCCTCCAGTGCTGTTCCAGCATAGCACTCGACGTTGCAGCAAAAATATTCACCTGCTGTCTTCTGCATGGCAGCTGGACTATGCTAGAGCTGTGCAACTTGTGCAGCAGTCATCTGCTTCCACATGCTCCATCTGCTCTCGCATGCAGCAGTGTGCTTGGTGTCCCGAGAGGAAATTTACTGTCACTTGCACTGGGTAGAGCAGCAAAGCAGAGCTAAGCAGTGTGCAGCCTGGGTCCCGTAGGGCTCTGCCTTAATCTGCAGTCACTACACATGGCAGCCTATATGGCAGTCTACATGCTACCTTGCCTCGGTTGACAGGAAGGCTGGCTAGCCAGCCATAATTACCATTTAATGTTTGTTTCTCCCAGATGCTCCTGTGACCAGCACAATTCCAAATGGCCGACCCAGCAACAGTTTAGAGAAGGATCTAGATCTCTTTGCTTCAGTGGAATCCAACTCGCTCTCTGACTCTAGGAAGGTGAGTCAGGGGCGGTAATAAACTTCTCCAAAGACTGCTAGGTGACTGCATTGAGCAGGCCTGCATGTTTTCATTCTCGGTGTTTGCAAAGATGAGCTTGTCACCGTCTTTCTCCCCAGATCGCTGGTTCTATGCCAACAGCTGGAAGTGCTGGCTCTGTTCCCGAAAACCTGAACCTGTTTCCTGAGCCAGGAACTAAAGCGGAGGAAGTGGGAAAGAAACAACTCTCGAAAGACTCCATCCTTTCCCTGTATGGTTCTCAGACACCCCAGCTGCCTGCCCAAGGTACAGCGTGTCAGGGGGCGGGGGGAGAGGGAGCTAGAAGCTTCTGATGATTGGAACATCCTGAGAGCACTAAACTGATAGATTGGAGTTGCTTCTAGGGCAACTTTTTTGAGTTAATGTGAGGCCCATTACATGGGGCAGGTGTTCCTTGAGGAGTTACATTTTCATATGGGGTGTAAAATGTACCATCTATGGGCTGGCTGCAGCCTGCACTGTGTATTTATATAGGCTGCAGAGTGTATTCAGAATGTCCAGATTCCGAGCTCTCATAAAACAACCATGAGGGCTGGAGGCTTTTTATGAAGAAAATCTTTAAAGGTGAGCTGATGAGGTGAGATCTTCAGGGGTGCTCGTCTCCTGTTAAGCTAATCACAATGTCAACTCTACTTCATTGCCGGCATTAGCTATCGACTAGCTGATGCTTTTCCATTGCATCCACTAAAAGTGCATGAGGGATGTCCAACAGCGGGGGGGATTGTGTGTGTTAGGGAAGGAAATGAAGAAGAGCAGGAGATTCGTAAGAGGAGAGAAGGCAAGCAAGGCAGGCAGAGCGGTGGCTTTAAAGAGGGTCGCATTCCTCACGGATCTTTATTGAAAGGGATAAGAAGGTCCTAAATAATAACTCCGAGTTGAGTTCTGCAAACAGGCCCCTTGATCTGTGTGTAGACTTCCCATTGACATCATAGAGCTCGGCTGTGATTCGAAAGTAGGGTGTAGACCAGTGGTGGGCAGCATGCAGCCCAGTGGGGTTCTGTATACGACCCACAGGACATTTTGTTCACCATTGCCCATGCGCAGGGTTGTCAGATTCTGCTGGTTTCTGTCCACGTAGTTGTGGGGGAGTGGTTCCCCTACCAGTATTACTAAAGTGACACACATGTGAAGCACGGGGATGTGAGGTGAGGTGCGCGCTGATTGTGAGCATTGAGTGACTGGGAGAGCTGTGTGCTCCCTCTGCGGCCCATCAAAGCGCTGTTACCGTTCAATCAGCACGCCCCGCAACGTCTAGTTGCGCTCGTGCGGTTAGCGGAACTACCCTGTCCTGGGAGAGCATCTTGTCACGACAGTCTCGTGGCCCACTGAGATGGAGGGCCACTCCTGCAGCCTGCTCGCTAGCCTAGGTTGCCCGTTGCAGCTGTAGACAGACTTCTGCCCCCATCCAGGAAAGTAATGGCCGTGGAATTCTGTCCTATCCCTCAAGTGGATCTGATGCCCCTGATCTTGATATCATGGGCATTGAAAGGCAGGTATCTCCCTTGCTCTCCAAGGGCATCACTATGGAGTGACAATGCAGCACTGCAATTGCAGTTCAACGCGTTAAGAGTTAGCAAGAGGAGCCTTTCTGTGCTCTGATGCCCCTTCCTCCCCTGCTGAGTTCTTGCATCTTCTAGTCCAGTGGTCTCGAGCCTTTTGAACCACAAGATCACTTTTCAATTTAAGTGCAATGTAAGATCTACCTCAAACCCAAACACCCTTGCCCCGCTTCCCTCCTGCCCGTTCTTTGAGGCCCCGCCCCTGGTCTCTCTCTTCTCCGAGGCCTCACTCTGCTCACTCCATCCCTCTTCCTCCCTCGCTTTCACCAGGCTGAGGTAGGGAGTTGGGGTGCAGGCTCTGGTCTTGGGCCAAGGGGTATGGAGTGTGGGAGAGGCTCTGAGCTTGGCCCAGGGTGGGGGATTGGGGTCCAGAAGGGGTTTCAAGGTACAAGCTCTGGGAGTGTGTTTGGGTGCAGGAGGATTCACCTTGGGGGCAGGAGGAGGTTCGGGGCTGGGACGGGTTCAGGAAGCAGGCTCTGGCTGGGCACCGTTTAACTGAGACAGCTTCCAGGTGGTAGAGCAGTGGGGTTAAGGCAGGCGTACTCCTGCCCTGGCCCTGCACCACTCCTGAAAGCAATGGCTCCATGGTACCATGTGCTGCCCCTCATCTACCAGCACTGAGCACACAGCTTCTACTGGCCATGGTGCCCCGTTATTGATCAACGGGAGCTGCAGGAGCGGTGTCTGCAGGTAACGACAGTATCTGGAGATGCCCTGCTCTTCCTCTCTCAGGGGCTGCAGGGACATGCCAGCCGCTTCCAGGAGCAGCAGTTACCATTGGGATAATGACTCCAGCCACGACAGGCGAGGCGTTTTAGAACTCAATACTCAAAGAATTAAATTTAAGCGTAAGAGAAATGAAAATGATGAAATGCACAGCCCAGTCAAAAAGCAAAACCAACCCACTTTGCGAGCAGTAAAAGAAGTAGCAACAACAACCCACATATGTGTTGGGTTGGGAGAGGAGAGGGAAGGACAGTGTGTGTTTGTGAGAATGACAGAGACACACACAGTGTGTGAGAGTGACAGAGATTTGCATTGCCAAGCTCT